ATAATAATAATAACAATAATAATAATAATAAATAATAAAAATAGTAGTAAGAAGGGGAAAGAGAGGAAAAGAGAAAATAAACTAATAATAATAAACAAAAATTAATAAAATAATAATAATAAAAAAATAAAATAAAAATAAAATAAAAAAACAGAAAATGAAGGGGAGGAGTCGAAGAAAAAGAAAAGAAACAAAAAGAGTGAAAAATAAAATAAATAAAGTTCAGCAAACAGAGCAATGAGAATAAGCAAAAAAAAATTTATAATAATAATAAAAACTAAATAAATAAAAAAGAAAACACTATATCAATGCTAATTATGAATTATACAAACCCACATGGAAGAATAATATTAAAGATATGTATGATAGATTATTAACTTGATAACTATAATATACTCATGTTGGTAATAATAATAATAATAATACTAATAATAATGATAATAATAAAAAGAACAACAGCTGTAACAATAAATTGAGGAGGGTGTAGTTGTGTCATGGGCATTGAGGTATAAAGTGTTTGTCAGTTGCTTTGTGATGCATTAAAAAAAGTGTAACGTGTGGCATGGATCAGTCCAGTGCAGTGCCCAGGCTGCCATGCCTACGTTACACTTTACCCTGTGAATTTAGTACATGTAAGTAGATTTTTTTTCTATCTCTTTTTTTTCTTTTCCTCCTCTTCTCTTTCTTTTTCCTTTTCTTTTTTTTTTTTATCTGTTGTTGGACTGGTCAGGAAAAGTACTGGTATATAAAAAAAAATAATAATAATAATTTATGTATAATAATAATAATAAATAGAAAACAAATATTATAAATAATAATAATAATAAAATGAATAAATATCATTGATAGAGACAGAAAAGGGGAACAAATAGAACAAAAGGGAAAGTAAAGAAGTATATAAAGACCGAATTATGATTCTTTTATTTTAATTGTTTACATTATACTTTTTTTCCAATTGATTTATTTATTTTAAATTAGATTTAATATTAGATTTTTTTTTTCTTCCTCATATCTACCTGACCCTATCTCTCCCCTCTTGTTTATATACTGATGAAGGTGTTGTTAGGGAATGGCTTCAGGCAAAGAAGATCTTCAATGGAGATGTATTCTGTTAATAAGTTTTTCCAGTATGAGATGTGAATGGTATTTCTTGATTTCCAGTTCATGAGGATAGTTTTCTTTGCGATAGTTAGAGCCACCAGCAGAAACTGACCATTTGTATTATTTATATTGATTGTGGATATGTCACCTAATATGCAGAGGGAGGGACACAGTGGGATGTGACAACCCATTAAGTTGGAGAGTGAGTCAGTAACCTTTTCCCAAAATGATTTAATTGAAGTGCAATGCCATAAGGCATGAAGATATGTGTCTGGAGTGTTTTGTGTGCAATGTGAACATATTTCTGACGTGAAACCCATTTTAAATAATTTCTGCCCAGTTAAATGTGATCTGTGAAGTACTTTGTACTGTATAAGTTGTAAGTTAGCATTTTTAGTCATGGAAAATGTGTTTTTGCAAATTTGAGTCCAGAATGCAGCATTGGGATTAATAGATAAGTCTGTTTGCCATTTAGTGGTTGGTAGAACTAATGCATTGTCTGATTTTGATATCATTTTGTATATTTGGGAGAGCAATTTTTTAGAGGGAGATATATTGATAAACTCTGAGATTTGAGGTGGAAGGTCTAGATTGATTGATTGGTTAGGTAATTTTGACTTAATTGATGATTTGATTTGTAAGTATTCCAAAAAGCAATTACTCCCAATGCTGTATGTCTGGGCTATATGGGGAAATGGTGCCAGATTATTATTAATAAAGATATGTTGAAGTTGTGTGATTCCCTTGGCGGCCCATGTGCGAAAGTTAAGTGGCTTCTTGTTGGCTAGGAAATCAGGGTTATTCCAGATTGGGGTGTATTAAGATGGTGTGAGTGGGGAATTTGTGACCTGATGAAATTTCCACCAGGCTGTCAGAGTTGCTTCTATTGTCGGCATTTTAAAACAGTGATGTCTCTTGATTGATTGACTGTGAAAGGGTAATTCTGAAATGTTAATGTCTTTGCATATTGATTGTTCAATGTCTTGCCATGTGTATTCTGATGAGTTAGGTTTAATCCATTTGTGTATGTTTTGAAGCTGATTTGCCAGAAAATAGTTGTAAAAATGTGGTGCTTCTAATCCTCCTTGTGTTTTTGGTTTCTGTAGGGTTGTCAATTTAATTCTTGGGGTTTTGTTTTTCCAGTAGAATTGTGTTATAATAGAGTCTAGAGGTTTGAACCAGGTATGTGTGGGTTGTGTTGGAATCATTGAAAATAAATAGTTTATTTTTGTGAGAATGGACATTTTGGTTACTGATATTCTGCCCATGATGGATAATGGTAAGTTCATCCAGCGTTGCAGGTCATCATCTATTTTTTAAGTAATGGAGTATAGTTAAGTGCAAACAACTCTGACAGTTAAACTTAAGTTATTGTTTCCTGTAATGATGTTTGGGGATTTTGTAAGTATAATAATATGTCATCAGCATAAAGACTTATTTTATGGTGTATGTTTAATGTTTGAATTCCTTTAATATAAATGTTTTGACGGATTGCTGCTGCAAGTGGTTCAATGAATATGGTGAATAAAGAGGGAGAGAGTGGACATCCTTGTCTAGTTCCCCGGTGTAGAGTGAAGCTGCGTGATGTTAGTCCGTTAGTAATGACAGTAGCTGAGGGTGATGTGTAGAGAATTTTGATCCAATTAATAAATGACTTCCCAAAACCAAACCTCTCTAATGTGGAAAACAGGAATTTCCAGTTTACTTTATCGAAAGCCTTTTCAGCGTCAAGGGTGACTATGATAGAATTGTTATTGTTTATTGAAGAGTGGTGTATTAGGTTTATGAGTCTGCGTGTAATTTACCTTTAATAAAACCGGTTTGATCTGGATGGATTATGGATGGCATGATTTTTTCTATTCTATGTGAAAGTGCTTTAGCAATTATTTTAGTGTCTACGTAAATTAGTGAGATTGGACGATAGCTTGACGGTAATGTTGGGTCTTTATTGGGTTTGAGGAGGAGTGCAATTGTAGCTGTGTTCATGGTATCTGGAAGCTTTGAATTTTGTTTTGATTCGTTAATCAACCGGATGAAAAGTGGTGATAAAATTGACCAAAAGTGTTTGTAGAACTCAGCAGGGAAACCATCGGGTCCTGGTGATTTATTATTAGGCATGAGTTTAAGTGCATTAGAAATTTCTTGTTGTGATAAGGGGGATTCAAGAGAATTTATTTGCTGTTCATTTAGTTGAGGTAAGTTGATATTGCTAAGAAATTAGTGAATTTCGTCCTGGGATGGGTTTTTTCAGGGGAATATAATTTACTGTAAAATTTTTGAAAGATCTGATTTATTTCTTCTGGTGAGTTGGTGGGTTTCCCTGCTGAGTCCTTAATGACTGATATTGTTGTTTTTTCTTTATTGTGTTTGATTTGATTAGCCAGATATTTACCAGATTTGTTACTATGATGGAAGAGTTCTTGTCGTAATCTGTGAATAAGGAATTGAGTATGTGCATTAATTAATTTATTTAATTGTGATTTATATTTTCTTAGAAAATCTTGTGTTTCTTCTGTTGGATTATTTATGTTAATGTCTTCTAGATCTTTAATTTTCTGTTCCAGTTCAGCTTGATGTTCTTTCTCTTTCTTTTTTTTGTAAACAGAGTATGAAATTATTTTCCCTCTTAATACTGCCTTTCCTGTTTCCCACAGAAGAGATGGGGATGTTTCAGGGGAGTCATTTATCTCTAGAAAGAATGCCCACTCTCTTTTAAAATAACTGTCGAAATCCTGATCTTGAAGAAGAGAGGTGTTGAATCGCCATCTGGAAACGGGGTTTATGTCTGGTGGTTATATTCAGTTTTAATGTTACAGGAGCGTGATCACTAATGATTATTGGGTGGATCTTTGATTCAGAAATATTAGATAAAATAGAATTACTGGTGAGAAAAAAGTCAATGCGGGAGTACGAATGATGAACAGGTGAGTAAAATGAGAATGCTTTATTGTCCGGATGCTGGATCTTTACAGGATCTGTACACTCGTACTGATTTATTCTTGATGTTGTTGTTGTTGTTCCTGCAGTGTGTATAGAGAAGATCAGACTGGAGACCTGCAGCAGGATTCACTCCAACCAGAACATGATGAACTCCAGAGAGTCAAAGAGCAGCACAAAACCAGCATGAAGTACAAGTATGAGAGATTATTTGAGGGAATCAACCATGAAGAGACTCCAACCCTCCTGAACAGCATCTACACACAGCTCTACATCATAGAAGGAGAGAGTGAAGGAGTGAATGAAGAACATGAGGTTTTACAGATGGAGAAAAGAGCCAGAACAGAACCCTCACAACACACTCCAGTCTACTGCAATGACATCTTTAAAGCCTCAGCTGGAGCAGGACATGAGGAGAAGATCAAGAAGGAGAAAGCCCAGATCAAGACTGTTCTCACTAAAGGCATCGCTGGAATCGGGAAAACCGTCTCTGTGCAGAAGTTCATTCTGGACTGGGCCGAGGGAAAAGACCATCAGGATGTAGATTTCATGTTTGTGCTTCCATTTCGAGAGCTGAACTTGATCAGAGATCATCAGTACAGTCTTCACAGACTTCTGCTGGCCTTTCATCCTGAACTTGAAGATCTGGAGCCCAAGATTTATGAGCAGTGTAGAGTTGTGTTCATCTTTGATGGTCTGGATGAAAGCAGAATCACACTCAACTTTTCAGATGAGGAGAAAGTTTGTGCTGTGACTGAATCTTCATCAGTGGCTGTGTTGATGCGGAGCCTCCTGAAAGGAGATCTGCTTCCCTCTGCTCTCATCTGGATCACCTCCAGACCAGCAGCAGCCCATCAGATCCCCTCCAGATACATCCACCGTCTGACAGAGATTCAGGGATTCACTGAGCCTCAGAAGGAGGAATATTTCAGGAAGAGAATCAGCGACGAGCATCAAGCCAGCAGAATCATCTCCCACATCAGAAGAGCAAGAAGCCTCCAGATCATGTGCCACATACCCGTCTTCTGCTGGATCTCCTCCACTGTGCTTCAGAAGCTCCTGGAAGAAGATGTGAGTGCAGAAATCCCTCAAACTCTGACTGAGATGTACATCCACTTCCTGCTGATTCAGATCAACATGAGGAAGCAGAAGTATGAAGAGAGAGATCCAGAGAAACTCCTGCAGGCCAACAGAGAAGTGATTGTCAAACTTGCTGAAGTGGCTTTCAGACAGCTGATGAAGGGCAATGTGATGTTCTATGAGGAGGACCTGATTGAGAGCGGCATAGACGTCACTGACGCCTCGGTGTATTCTGGGATCTGCACTGAGATCTTCAAGGAGGAATCTGTGATTCATCAGAGGAAAGTCTACAGCTTCATCCATCTCAGCTTTCAGGAGTTTCTGGCTGCTTTCTTTGTGTTTTACTGCTATTTAACAAAGAACAAAGAGGAGCTGGAGTGGATTTATTACAGTGGATATTTGTATAATCATCATCTACAGTTGATACAGTTGTTACAGTTTAAGAATGCTCTGTTTAATCTGCTCAGATCAGCAGTAGATAAAGCTGTGGAGAGCAGTACTGGTCATCTGGATCTGTTCCTGCGGTTCCTGCTGGGCATCTCCCTGGAGTCCAATCAGAGACTCTTCCAGGATCTGCTGCCACACACAGAGAAGAGCTCAAAGAGCATCAGGAGGAGCACACAGTACATTAAAGAGATGATCAAGAGAGATGATGATCTCCCAGTTGACAGATCCATCAATCTGTTCCTCTGTCTGCTGGAGGTGAAAGATCAGACTCTGGCCAGAGAGATTCAGGAGTTTGTGAAATCAGACAAACACTCAGAGGAGAAACTCACTCCTGCTCACTGCTCAACAATCTCCTACATGATTGAGATGTCAGAGGAGCCGCTGGATGAGTTAGACTCTAATAAATTCAACACATCAGATGAGGGAAGACGGAGACTGATACCAGCTGTGAGGAACTGCAGGAGAGCTCTGTGAGTATTCATTCATTCATTCATTCATTGATCACAGAAGACACACATTAGTCTGCAGTTTAATAAATCACTGCGCGTGAGTGATCATCCTCTCATAAGGTATTCACCTGCTTTTGTTTGCGTGAACAGCTATTTTTTGTGCTGCTTCTCGATTCTAAGATCACATATTGAGCCATCCTCATTGTGGAACCCTGCTTTAAGAAAACTACAATGTAAACATTATTTCCAACCAGCCAAAGTGGCTAGTGGAGGTGGCTGTCTAACCTGCCAGAGCTGAAATCTACCCACATTTGGTGTATTAGCCGGTGTTAATGTAAGGCCCTGTTTCTGAGCTAAATCTCCAAAACTGTCCAATGGTGCGACAAACTCGAGCATAGTTCAGTAAATTACAGCTCGTATGACTTAAATAAACAGATCAGGGTTAATTTTACAGTAGCTGTTTTAGTAAATGGCAGTCATGTTTATCATCCATGTATTTCTAAAATCAGGAGCTTGTTGTCAATAACTGAGCACCGTGTCCTCTGGTGTGACGCTATATGCTCATTATAAATCAGGCAATCTTTGGACAGTTGAAAGACCCCATGCTCCTGCACATGCTCAGGTTTAGCCTCAGGATTATATATAACTCGCATATTTATCCTTCTGGAACCACTGTACAGTTCTTGAGTTTTGTTGTTTGATGTGACGTTCATTTATTCAGAATATCCAACAGGTTTAGGAGAAGAAAGTATTATTTATAATTTCATGTAAAGTGAATAGCACTATATGAAGTGCTTTTGCCTTACAGCATTATGATGTAAAGAATTATAATGTTGTGTACGTGTATCTGTTTTATTGTCATTCTATATCAAGCCTCCATTGGACAGGTGCAGGTTTGCTAAAACACTTAATCAAATGCATTTGTTTGTCCAGTGTAATTGTGATGTCCATGTCGCATAAAATATTACAAAATGTCCAACAATGAAGATAAATCACTTCCCACTCTTTATTATTAAGAGGTGTTTCTCTTCATGCGTAAAGTAAAAGTAAAACAGTAAAGGAACTGATGAAGTTGGTGACGCTTTTATTGACTCAAACAACTTTAATAGCTGCATCACTCAGAAACTGTGTTTTACCAACTAAAGCATTTTACTATCTGTTTAACTGCCCATATACAACTGAGTTCAGTTCAAGTGTATTTCTATAGCGCTTTACAATAGTTATTATACTGTTACAATGATTATATTTTTACAATAATCCTATTTGAGAGATTTATTTATATTTAAAGAGCCATTATAATTTCACCGGTGTGCTAATAAATAGCCTTCAGTTACACACAGAATATCAAAATAATCATGATGATATTCTTTTAATAATTTATTTATACTTTATACACTTATACATGATGATTTACTGTATGCTGTTTGAGATGTTAATTCAGATATTTATTTTATGCTTTTATTTCAGAAAATAAGTAATAAAATATGAACCCTTAAAGAGTCCCAGATCCCTGTCAGAATAAACCTGATAAAGGGTGTAGGACTGTAAATGTGTAGGCTGCAGGAATAATATTGAGAAACAAAGGCCCAATCCCAGTTCTCCCCCTTAGCCCTTCTCCATACCTCTATCCTGGTTTTTCGTGTTCACATGAAGGGGAAGGGGTGTCCTTATTTACTTATTTTGTTAGCAGTTGATTTCTCCTCACACTGAAGGCAGTTTTTTGACTATTTTATGTTCTTGTTTGTCTTTCCTCATATGCTTGTTGTTAATATGGCTGTAAACTGCAGATCTTCAGCAGTCGTTATCTCATTAACTACACCAGTTTCAGTGTCAGTTTAACACTCTGCAGACTGAACACATGAACACATCAACAGTGTCAGTAGAACTCCACACCACTGGTGGTGGTGTAGAGAGACCCCCCTCATGATTGTAAAGCGCTTTGGGTGTATGGCCATACACAATAAATGCGCTATATAAATACACATTACATTACAACTCTGTATAATCTGCCAGATTAACACATTAATACAGTTGTTTGTTTTGTCCTCTACACAGGCTACAGGACTGTAATCTCACTGTTCAGTGCTGTGAGAGTTTGTCTTCAGTTCTACAATCCTCAATCTGTGTGCTGAGAGAGCTGGACCTGAGTAACAATGACCTGCAGGATTCAGGAGTGAAGAAGCTCTCTGATGGACTGAAGAGTTCAGACTGTAAACTGGACACACTGAGGTCTGAGCTCAAACACCTGATTGATTGATTGATTGATTGATTGATTGATTGATTGATTGATTTTTGTGACAGATGTATTACTAAAACTCATACTGTTAATGTAATTTGTGTTCTTCTTTCTCAGATTGGTCATGTGTAATCTCACTGTTCAGTGCTGTGAGAGTTTGTCTTCAGCTCTACAATCCTCAAACTGTGTGCTGAGAGAGCTGGACCTGAGTAACAATGACCTGCAGGATTCAGGAGTGAAGAAGCTCTCTGATGGACTGAAGAGTCAACACTGTAAACTGAACACACTGAGGTCTGAGCTGAAACACCTGATTGATTGATTGATTGATTGATTGATTGATTGATTGATTGATTGATTGATTGATTTTTGTGACAGATGTATTACTAAAACTCATACTGGTAACGTAATTTGTGTTGTTCTTTCTTAGCTTGGCCATGTGTAATCTCACTGTTCAGTCCTGTGAGAGTTTGTCTTCAGCTCTACAATCTTCAAACTGTGTGCTGAGAGAGCTGGACCTGAGTAACAATGACCTGCAGGATTCAGGAGTGAAGAAGCTCTCTGATGGACTGAAGAGTTCAGACTGTAAGCTGGAGACACTGAGGTCTGAGTTCAAACATCTGATTGATTGATTGATTGATTGATTTTTGTGATAGATGTATTACTAAAACTCATACTGTTAATGAAATTTGTGTTCTTCTTTTTCAGATTGGTCATGTGTAATCTCACTGCTCAGTCCTGTAAGAGTTTGTCTTCAGTTCTACAATCCTCAATCTGTGCCCTGAGAGAGCTGGACCTGAGTAACAATGACCTGCAGGATTCAGGAGTGAAGAAGCTCTCTGATGGACTGATGAGTCCACACTGTAAACTGGACACACTGAGGTACAATAAATCCACCACATTTTTACATATTATAAATACTACCATAAGTAGTTGTAAATATTGTGTAATGCCACAAAGTATGATGAGATGAGAGAAATACGTGTGCAGTAATGATTATTGCACTGTGCTTTAAAATAGTATACAAACTATTCCTTTCTCTGATTTCCTTTATTATTTTATGTAAATGAGTCAGTATAACTGTCATCAGAGTCATCAAATGTCAGATTATATTGAACAGACATCACAATGATGTTTAGTGTTCACTTCAGAAGTGAAACTCAAACTGCACTGCTCTACATGATGCACAGCAGAGAATGGAAACGTTTTATAGTTTGTCAACTGAACTGAAATGGTCATTTGTTGAATTTGCAGCGTATTTACTGAATCAAAGGCCTGCTCAAAAACCTTTGTGAGGTTCTCTTATATTCTATAAAGATCAGTATTGTCATTTTTAATTGTGGTGAAATATATTTGTAATAAAGGATATCTGTAAAATTCACATTTTTATCTCTACATTTACAGGAGACTGTGTGTTAGTGACGCCTATTTGTCAGACTAATATGATGTGTGTGTGTGTGTGTGTGTGTGTGTGTGTGTGTGTGTGTGTGTGTGTGTTTGTGTGTGTGTGTGTGTTTGTAGGTTGTCTGGCTGTATGGTGACAGAGGAAGGCTGTGGTTTTCTGTCTTCAGCTCTGACTTCAAACCCCTCACACCTGAGAGAGCTGGATCTGAGCTACAATCATCCAGGAGATTCAGGAGTCAAGCTGCTCTCTCAACAACTGGAGGATCCACACTACACACTGCACACACTCAAGTATGTGGACGTCATTCTTGCTCAAAGTTCAGATATTGTATGAGCAGCACTTCTTTTTGTCCCGCAAATAGAAGACATCATATCTTACCAATCTTGTTAATAGTATTTACGTGGCCAACGATAATAACATAACACAGTATTGGGTTAACTTTAGTAAGGTAACAAGATCTACAGCTCGAGGCAATGACTTAGAAGCACATAAACAAGAATATAGTTCTTACAAAATGAGAATGAAGATTTATCGAGCTACACTACCATACATGAAACTAACTACATAATAAGCAAACAACAAACAAACGCTCACACAAACACACAGAGGCAGTTCAGAGGGTGCAAAATGAGTTGACAACGTCCCAAATTATTGTAATACTTCTTACAAGATCTTAGAATAACACCTGAGAGACCACAAAAGCAGAGATATGGCTTATCTTTAACTGCTGAAGATCAATCTGCACCAAATCAGCCAGAGACAACATTAGTTTTTTTACTTGCACTTTTGATGGTCTGGTTCGTCCCCATGGCACTGTCTGCCAATGAGCAGCTGCCATGAAGGGCAGGGCCACGCCCCGTACCGATGTAGGAACGGTCAATCATTAACAGACTGCATGTAGATTTCACGTGGTAAAACTCTGGCAAGATTGAAACTATCTTACATCAAATGTTACAAGACGAATACTGTTTAAACTACTAGCTTTTCCTTTACACCAACGTATTGCAAATGTCACTAGCTTTCGTTCAATACCAGACATCATACATTTCAGACACATACAGATCATTTTACTCTGCTATTAGTGTTAAAACAACATATTGATTAACCTGGTTGATTGGAATAAACAGCATACGAGGAATTATTATGGCATATTATTCAAAGATACATCTGCCTTAGTTCTAACATTTTAAGAGATTGTCTTTCATTTGTATGCGTTCATGTTTCTAGAGATCTCTTTTTTTCTCTACGAAATTGTGCATCTGGCAGTATGTGCCCAAGGCGAGCACATGACCATGTAAAGGAGTCATTCAGTCTTGTGGGGCAATTAGTTAAGTTTTCCCACTGAAAATCCTGTAAAGCCCCATTGTGGGAAATTGAATGATTTACCAAGTTAGCTGAAGGGTACCAGAACATCTGTGGCCAAAGTACTGATGCAGCTATTCAAGTCAATTGGCGCTCTGTTATCGTGGTAGTATAAGCCCTCGAGCCAGTTCGATGACCGACACTTTGGCACCCGATTTGCAAGATTTCAGATTCAACTCATGTTGTTCACTGCAGTATGCCCATGAGTTACTACAGCTCATTCAGTGCACATCTCAGGCTTTATGCAGGCATGTCTCTCATGAGGCAGATATGGACAGAGATTTGAAATAGGCCTATAGTTAGCTCAGTTGTTGGTGTCTATTTGTGGTTTCTTAATCATAGGCTTAATAACAGCTAGCTTGTAAGAGTTTGGAACATGGCCTATAGATAAAGAAGAGTTGATCATGTTAAGAAGAGGTTCTCCTATAGCAGGCAGCAGCTCTTTCAGTCATTTTGTTGGAATTGAGTCCAGCATACACGTAGCTGGTTTAGAGCTATTTATAAGTTGATCTAGCTCTTCCTGTTCTATGATGTGGAAGCAGTGTAGGTTATTAGTAGGGGTGTCAAAATTAATTGTTTCTTCTGTGCACCGCGATGCAGACGCGGACAATTCGTTATCGGTTCAGTAATAATCATAACCGGTTATAATGTACTGACATCATTTATCTCCTATGCGCTCTGTCGTGAGGGAGGTGAGCGCCGTTATTTACAACACTCAGCCAACTCATGGCTGGCCCGTGGCATAGGCAGCATAGGCAAATGCTAAGGGCGCTGTATATCCCGGGGGGCACCAGAAATGAGCGCGCTTCAGTTGGTTTTGTTTTCGATATTCTTGACACACATTCAGTTATAGACGGCAATAACTCAAAAATCTCTTACCCTAAAAACATCTAAAGTGTGTTTCCTACAGAAAGACAAAGCTGGTTATGTTTCACAGCTGTCTTTCTTTTTTACGCTCGACATTACGAGCACTGCTCCGTTTAAGCCCTCGCAGTCTGCGTTTACTTTAGCTGGTAGAGCTCGCGCTGAGAGGAGCTCTCTGTAAGGGACCTCATCTCGGCTCTCATCTCGGAAAAGTGCTTATTTTTTTTGTTTTTTCGTTTTCTCGGCTTAAGTGTGTTTGTTTGTTTGTGTGTGTGTGCGTGTGTGTGTTTGTTTGTTTGATGCTGTCTATGTTTGTGTATGTGTGTGAATGAGAGACAGTGTGTTGCTGTGTGTTGGTGTGTTTATACAGACAGCATGTTATAGCCTCCCCCTAAAATATAACACTATATATGGAAAGCATCGTCAATGCACCGTGATGCACCGAGATATCGAATTGAACCGAATCGAAGGCATGATAATCGTAACCGAACCGAACCGTGAGACCAGTATAGGTTCACACCTCTAGTTATTATTATGATTCAGTGAAATGTTTACTGGATCTGGAGTATAAGCCGGTGCAGAAATTGTATCAAGTGGAACTGATTGTAACACATCTGTAAACGCTGATGAGTCCAGATGTGTCATTAGTGTCATCTATGTGGATGTTGAAATGAGTACATTACTATTTTATCCCAAAATTCGTTTTTTATCAGTATGAAAGTGGAAGTGAAGAACTGAGTCAAGTTTACGTTATTTTGTACAGGTTTTCACTTTTAATGAAAATATATTAAACAAACTCCATTTTTGTAGGCATTTAGAAGAAAACAGCATGTTTTACTATAGATTTTTACAGCTATATCTTGGAATGTTGCTGTGCCTGATGTCACGGGGTTGGTTCTGTTCCCTCAGCTGAACAAATACAGTGGAACAGTGGAAGTAAAGGACTGAACACGGAGACTGGAAAGCCTAATGCATAAAGTTGTGGATGTGGAGCTGCTGCAAAAAAAGCATCAGATGTGTGTCTATAAAATAGAATATATATATAACATTTATATACATTCATATATATTTTTTTTACTCCCTTTTAATTACCGATCATTTGCTGTGCTTTGGTTCAGTCTCTGTATAACACTGATTGTCTGAGTCTCAAACATTGGTTTCAACAAGGTCCCGTGCTACTACAGCCCCTTACCTCTGCTCATGCTCAAACCAAACTAAGATCAGCACGGACAGCAAGAACATCCTTCATACATGTTGAGAGATCGAGAGTGTAGTTCTATTATGTGCACGTATGATGAAGCCGCTGATTATATGTAAGATTATGAAATCTCTTTCAATGCGTGTTCAGCTGTGCACTTTTTCCATTCTCACATTTGCATGTAACGACCACATGCATTTTATGTAGATCTGTTATTCTCCTCTGCAAGTCATCTGTCCTGACGTCTTCATTTATTCAGTGCTACAGTCTATAGCACCTCAATGAAATACCTGAAACTGTCATGAAATACTTTAGATGACATTACCAATTTATGGAAATATGTTTTATAATAAATTAAAATTATTAAAAGCAGGACTATGCTAAAGGAAAGGGAAAGAGATGAACTGATCTTAGCAATGTTTGGTATTTTTTATCAGGGTGGAATGTTAAAGTATATTCGGCTGTTCAATTCAGCTGGACTTAATATATTTACAGTTGGAATAATTAGTTAACTAGTAGTTTATTTGTTGAGAAGAATAAAGTGTAAGAATCAGGTCTTTGGTTTAATTCACATTTAATCTTTGGGTATTCAAATCTAAAGATTCGAACGTGATTCACAAAGAGTTATTCAAATCTACACTTACCCTCTGTATTTGTCCAGCAAATAGAACGTTTAGTGTAAAGCAATTCTGTATTATATTATTACGTTGCCAACAATAACAATATAATAACAGTATCTAATTATTTAATGAGCAAGGTAGCAGTATCTGAAGCTGAGGCATTAACTTATAAAGCACACAACACACCAACACGGATCTTAAAACAAAACAAAAGTTTATTACTACTCTATAACACAAAGTACTGATCTACATAAAACAAACAAACGCACATACATACATACACACACGCACAAGCAGTTTGAGGAGAGTTTTGACAGTGGATTCAACTTCTAGCCTTTGCTAAGTTTTTAGCATTGCAACCTGAGAGAAACCATCAAGCATAGAATTTCACTATTCTTTACTACTTAAACATAATTCACACCAGATTCAGTAATGGATGGAAACCTTGTTTGTGCTACTTGCGTTCTGATGGAATTTTGGTTTCCTCGACTGGTCCAAAGGGAAATCCTGGCGAAGCTGATTGGTAAGCGTAGCAACTTCAGTGATGTGCTGAAATTCCCTCCTCGGTGAAGAGGGGTTTCCTTACTGTCAGGGAAGCTAGGGTTACAGATGTTGGACGAGGTGTCGTTGTAGGTGAAGTTTTTCCTGGGGTTTCTCTAGTTATGATGGAGTTTCAGAGTTCTGAGGTGTTGACCCGATGGCTTGTTGATAAAGCAGTTACACAAGCAGATCGGGGGCCGAGCCGGCAGCAAGGGGAGGTCGCGTGCTCTGTGATGTAACGAGGCTTCCGGCGAAGCGATGTAACAGCCACTGCACGAGAAGAGCAACATACAGGCAGTGACGACTGGCAAAGATGACCGGCAAAGATGACAAAGAAATTTTCCTTGTTCAAAGTTTTATAGGCTGGGCCTACACAAATCAGAGAAACTGCGGGGTGGGAACACCCCCATTCCCTCCTCTAGTAGGCCGGGTTGGCACATTGTTTGAGTGCTGCTTTAATAGGATAGTTGTTAAAATAAAGTCTCATAACATGGACACCTTTCATAGTGTGGTTTCTTCATATAAACCAATGCATTGGAAACTTTCCTAGCTTTCAATCAGTACCAAACATGAAGTATTTCACAAACATTCTGTAGATTTCATTCATCACCGAGGGCTATAACTCAATAACTATCCATAACAGTTAAATGGAGCATGTAAACACAAAAACCTACATTAATGTAAAATAAGCATACATTAAGGGCCT